TAATAGGTCATTTCATAGCTGGGTGTGGGAAAATTAAAGGTGACTATCAATTTTTATGTATCTGTCAGTTTGCTTATATTTTAATTTCTGTTTTAAATATGGACAGGTAAAGCAAATAATCCATCTGACATTAAATATTTTTCCTCCAATTCATTTTTTAAAAGAGATTATTAAAAGTAAATATTGAGTCATTTCCCAAGAAAATACCATCCTCTGTTGAAAAATTATAATGCCTTAAATGAAATAGAGTTAAAATATAATATTGGGTAAATAGAGCTGTGGTTTGAACCATCATGGCCATTCTTATTTTCTGGAGAGTCTACATCTACTTTTCCAAGTCAAAACCAGTCTGGAATGTGAGCTGAAACGTTATCTTTACAACTTTGTTCCAAGTGTGAAATACATATTCCAACCTGTAACCCTGCACAAGGGAGCTGAACAGCTCTGCTAATCACAGGAAATCTACAGAGACTGTGACCTACTAAGTACCACGTTGCTGAGCTCTGATGCAACAACCCAGTGTCAGAAAGAAAACAGCTATAGGTGCCTGGTCTTAGATGCAACAGGAGTTACAGGATAAACTTCACTCACCCGTTGTCTTGGACTGTCATTAATCTCCATAGGAGGCAACAGTGGAAAATGTTAATAAGAAAAAAAAAGTGAATTAAATCCCGAAACAGCCCTGTGAAAGAGAAACCCTTCAACTTTAAATTGGAAGCAAGGGGAGTTCTGCCAGGTGTGGGAATGCAGAGAGGCCTTCAAGTGCTGTGCACAGCTGCAGCTGTGCCTCTGCCTTCAGCCAGTGCTTGTTTACTCTGTCTGGGAGCAGGCACTCTCTTCGTGCACTTCCGAACTCCTGCTGATGGCAGGTGAAGCTAATCCGTCAGACAGTACTGGCTCCAGATATCCAAGAGAGCCTTTAACCCCTTGTTCTGACAGGCAGTAGCAAAAATTAATACAAGTGATAATTAGTTACTCTGTTTGGCTTCTTTTCACTGTTTAAAGAGAGCTTTTCTCCTATAGGAATGAGGTGAATATGTGACTGCCAGAGTCAGGCTGTGTTGGAATGACTTCCCACATAGCCAAGTAGCAACACGGAGCTGTCCTAGTGAGATCTCGGGAGGATCCCTGTGGAAAATAGTCACAGGAGGAAGGCAAGTAAATGGTGACAAGTGAGTCCAGAGGCCCTTTGGCTGACTGCTATCAAGTGGTGAGCAGGATGCCCAGGAATCTTTGGGGTTTTTTTGAAATGAGTTTTATCAAGCTGGGAGAGAAGACTCCTTATGGAGGTCACACTTCTTCCCCAAAAGCAATGCTGGCTTTTGCAGGACCCAGGGCAGCTAAGACTTAGGAACAGCCTTGCTATTCTGCTTCCAGTAAAGACCAAGAGCAGAAAAATTTTGTGTTCAGACTCAAACCAACATAGAAATGTGTTTTGATTTTGTCCCCCACTCTGTTTAGCATTTCCACTTGACATTAGCTAGTGTCACCCCATCCAGTAGTAAGAGATGGGAAGGAACAGATAATTCCAGGTCACTCCAGCAAAATACACACAGCACCCCAAGCATGGCCTGGAAACCAGGGAGGCACTTTGTTGTGATAACAAGGTCACTGCAGACAAGCAGTGGCAAAGGCACACTTCTATCTATCTAAATCTTTGAGTATGTTTGAACATAATGGTGTACCAAGGCTAAAGGACTGGAAATGTGGGATGGCATGCTTAAACCCACAACCTCTGTTTGCCCTTGTGAAGATTATGAGCCATACCTAAAAGCACATTGCCACAGGATCAGGTAAATTGACTTTTATTGAAAAATACTGTAATATGAAGGGGGGGAACATTCCAATTTAACACAAATACATTGCATTTCAGGCTCCCAAATAACTATTGATATCTGCTGTCCTGGAGCAAATCATATCTTCCTTGACAAGTCAGACAGCTGCTCCTTCTCTATCTTCCCTTTGTTATCTTTAATAGCCACGGATTGTTGTGGTACCTTCAAAAAAATATTTGCAACTTACTTGACAGATGTTTCACCTCCTGCTATTAGCCCTGGTTCATGGGTTCATCTAATGCCTGTTCTTGCTGACAAAAGTCAGACCAAGTGCTTTTGAAATGAGAGTGTACTGGATGGCACTGCACAGCACATGCTTTGTACAGCTCTTCTTTCCCTCCAGCTGGAAGCTGGTGGGTGAACAACCTCTCCAGCCATCCTGTTCATCCTAATGTAAGTTGTGGTAGAAGCAATCTGCAGAACTCATCTGGTCCAGGCCCTAGCTCAGAGCAAGGCCAACTTTCAGGTCCTAAAAGACTGCTCATGGTCATCCCCAGCTGAGGCTTGACTATCGCCAGGGAAGTAGATCCCACAGCTTCCCAGGGCAAGTGTTCCCACGTTTGATCACAGTCACAGGGAACATTTTTTTCCCATTTGTTAAATTATAGAAATAATGGTATCTTAAAAACACAGGATCACTAAGAATTCTAAGATAAGTCTAAAGAAACCCATGGTTATATTTGACCAATTTCACTCAGACTTTGAAATGAAAAGACAAAGCAAGTCTAATAACACCAGGGTCACAGGTTTGATCCCTGTACAGGCCATTGACTTAAGAGTTGGTATTGATAATCCTTGTGGGTCCCTTCCAACTCAGAATATTCTGTGATTCTTTGATTCCTTCAGGCTATCAACTGTCCTCAGGTGTGTCAAAGGAAATGAAGGCAAATGTGGTAGAAATGGATGGGGGTGGTGATACTGCAGCAGGTCCCTTGCCTTCCTCTGACAGTCTTTGCTGCCCACAAATCTCAGTCAATACCATAGGCTGTGTAAGGTCTCCCCAGACTGCCTCAGGGCAGCCCTAAAATCCTTCAACAGCAAACTGAAGAGCCTGTATGGGTTAAGTGACTTTATGTGTCTTTGTGATGCAAAGGAGGAGTGTTTATACTGTCCATTCAGCAGCACAGCTGTAGAGGCACTACAGGCACTACAAAGAGCTGGCCATGTTAACAATTTGAACTGTACCACTTAGACCAAACTGACAGATGTGGTCCCAAATCATCAAAGGCCATCCTAGAACAACTGCCAAGGGCTATTGTGCATTTCAGGATGACTTTTAGCGCATTTAAAAATCTACTTCTAGGAAACATCCTTAAGTTGAGGGTATCATGGAAGTCGTATACAACCCAGTATTAGCTGGCACCATGTGCCTCTACTTTTTGTATCTCTATTTCTCTGATTAATCCATGATTAAGAACTAATGCAAGCTACATATCCCTAGTCAGTTTTTATATTCCTGAATGGGAAACATCACCCCCTTTGGACCAGACTGTAGCACAAGCATCATTTTAGGAGGGGCAAGACCGACACATTTAGTACTGAGTTTTGGCAAATATAGTAATAAATAGGGTCCTCTTTATACTTCCCAGTGGTGCACATACAGGTCTATTTTTCATGTGCTGGTGGAGCATTCAGCATTGAGATTGACCCTTCCAACACCTAAGAAGAACAGAGAAGGAACTTGTCCTCTAATGTGTGTAATTAGTGCTACTCCAGCTCTCTTGTATTCTCCTTGTATAGCTGAGAACAAAAGAAAGGTGGGGTTTTTTCCATCTCGCTTTTGTAGCTATCAGCTGAAAAAAAAACCCCAACTAACAGAACTTTAGATCCTTCACCATGAAATTAACAGCCACGCTTTGTGATTGGAACAGGTCCCCAGTGGTACCCTTCTCGTGTTGGCCTGCAACTAGAACGCAGTAAGTATTCATACGGTTGAATACAGCCACCTAATGTATTACTAATCCCCTGGCAGATTCTCCTCCTAACAGCATTGCTCTCTCTATACGTGTTATTGGATGAACTGTTAGCACATTTTCATTAACGGACATCAATTATTAACTTATTAGTCTTCTTATTAAGAAAGGAATCTAATGTTTTCATAATGTTTCAGAATACAGTATATGATCAAATAATGAAGACAAGGCAGTTTTAAACCCATTTGCTCACTTCCCTCGCTCGCTGCATGATCTGTTTTAAAACTTGCTCACAGCCTCATCAGAAGATGCAGCTGGCTGCAGGAGGCAGCCTCTTTTTTAATGCCAGTACACAAGTTCTTGGTGGACATGGCAGTGGGAGATAAAGCTGCCATGGGCTGTGTGGTATGTGGTCGGTGGACATGTTGAATTGCAAAGCCACAGAAAATAAGGGCTCAGCAGCTGATGGAATTTAGCATCCTTGCTGACGTAAACAGTCAACAAATGTATTGAAAGGGAGACACAATGCATAAAGCAGAAGAGAACAAAGAGGTGCAGCAGCCATGGCAACATCCCATGCCAGTGGCTCTTGGAGTTTCCCAATATCCAGCTCACTGCCCCTATAAAACAAAAGAGAACCAGATATTGCCATTTTATCTCTCTGTCTCTACACTCTGTGTCCATTAGGAGTGGAAGCAGATGCCTCAGAATACTGTGAAAAATAATGTAGTGCTCACATACACCTGGTCTACCTAGGTCAGAGCTTGCAAAGAAATCTTGGACAGTGGGCCTTGGCCCAAGAAATTGTCATCATGAGGTGCCACCTATTGTGAAATAGCCTGAGGATGTGAATGCTTGAACAAAACAGTTCAGCGAGGGAGACACCGCATAACATCGACTTTGCCATTAGTCTTGCAAGACAGAACAAAGAGTGCTCTGTGGAATTGTCTGTGTGATTGCTTGGCATGTCTCTAATGGGTTAGATTAACAGAGATAGTATCATACAATTGCTACGCATTGCTGCCCAGTGTCATGTCAGCCTGATGCTTTTGTTAAAATGAGATGAGAATAACTCTCATAGAAGAGCTCTAAGTTGCTAACCTGGAGAATAAGTACCACGTCACCAAAATAAATCAGAATACAAGCTGGGCTGACACCTGGACCATTATCAGGGCAGTCTATGCATTATGCTGAGCCTCTGAGAGGATACCTGTTGTTCATGCCATCTCCTCTTCCTTTTTTGTCATTGCAGACGGGCCGTTTTTGAAGGATTCAATTAACATTCAAAGTCTTGCTGTTTCCTCCATCATTACACTGTATTTTACAGACCTGGGTCAGCAGGTCGGTTGGACCACAGTAAGTATGTCCTTGTAACAATCAACAGGATATGTCTTAATGTATAATGGGTTTTAGAATTAAATTACTCCAACTTCCCCAGCAATCTTTCCCTATGTAAAATGGTGTAAGTACTTTATCAGCAGTAAAACCAGAGTTAAAGGGATAGTGAGCCAAATTATCAATATGCTAACTCTGGCATCCAATTAAATATTAGAAGGTGGACATAAAAATATTGCCTGAGGGGAAAAAAAATCAATTTTAAAAAAGAGTTTTAGCTTATCTAGGGTTTGTATGCCTGTGCAGAACCTGTAGCCAAATACATTAATTTGCTGCAAGACTCCTCAGCTTTGAAAGTGGAAGGATATTAAAAAGAAAAAATGGATTTCTAGTAATCCTGTTACTAATGTAGGAAAATTATTGGATGAAAACATCTTTCTCTTTGTTCACCCAAAGAACAGTTCCGACAGAGAAGCCAAGGATTCCAGGCAGAAGATGCCCAGCTAGGCTCAGGAGTCACAACTTTTGAATCTCTTTCTAAAACAAAAGTATTTGCCATGAGCAACAATATCCGTATCATGCTCTAGGTAGACGTGGTCTCAGTCTGACTTCAGTTATTTTCCTGTAAGTATCTTTCAGAATAGAGTATATGATCAATATGAATAACACAGTTGAAAGTTCAGGGTGGTGGAAGAGAGGCAACACATTCCACCCAAATGAGCTCGTGGGGAACTTTAACCTTACAGGCTCTTCTGGGAAAAGAAGAAGAGAAAGATTCAATTTGTTCATAGCCCAAAGACAGAAGACAGTAGAAGTGTTTGAAAGGACAGTGAAGGAATGGGAGATGAAGAGACCTTTCCAGTGTCCTGCACCAGGCATATGTGGTGGAGCTGAAAGCAGTCTCACTACTAGACTGACCCAGCTTTTGCTGTAGTTGGCACGTACTGCACTACCTGGGGTAAGACACAGCCCATATCTGTATATCAGATAATGAGATTCCCAATTTCTGCAGTGAGAAGCATGAGTAAGACAGAGCTACTGCTTCTGAAAGCCATAAAAACCCTGACAAGACTATTCATAGCAATGGAAAGCAAACCACCAATTGCTTGCAATTCCTTTAATGAAGCAAGTGAGTTTTCGCTAACTGGCATCATGGCTGTCGGCCAACTTATTAATTCTTAGCATAGATAGCACACAGATCCCACCCTGCTCATGCAGGGGAACTACAAGACCCACTGACAAGCCACTGTCCTTCCTTGGCAGTGCCCATATGGATGAAGCTTGTGAGTGCCAGGTCTTTGAGCAGCTTGCAGGTGATAGTACCTGTTTATCTCTCCAATAGGTCACTATGGGCTAGGAAGCATTACTACAAGACACTTGGAGTGAACATGCTGCTCTCAAGTTCCCTATCTCTTGAAAGGTACACTCAAGGTGAATGTTACTGCCAGAGATGCCTTTGACCTTGGCATGTCAGCCTCTGGATCAGTTCTGTAAGGTCATATATCCATCTCACCTGCTGAAGCTCACATACGTTTCCCCTCTCCAGGGAAGCAGATTGCCCTGATCAGCAAGAATTCTGACAGGTTTTAGCCCCTTTGAAGAAGAACGTGACATGTATCCATCCTTCCCACTTCCAACAGGACCCAAATCCCCAGGTCAAGCAGTTTACTTCAGTGGAGCTCTAGCATTTCACACCTGCCTGTTTCAGTGGAGGTCTGCGAGTTACCAAGGCTTTGCCCCACCCTGATTAATGGCCTATTGGGGGCCACACTGATTAATGTCAGTCCTATTTCCCCCCTGAATCCATCCCACCAGCTCTCATCTGTGGAATTTCCTTGCAAAGCAAAATTTTGATTAGTGCAGCTTCCTGTTTGCTACAATTAAGTAATCTGCAAAACCCTTATTTATTCTCTCTTTTCCTGGTGGTTTATGTAGCCTAAGACAGTAACATAACTAAAGCTTAATATCCCATTATAAATAGTGCAGTTATGACCAGGAGTTGATACTGCAGGCAGTGGCATTTTTTTTATGATTTAATCTGCATGCAAAAAGTTGACTCCATGAGTTTCTGAATATTCATGTTATCCCATTCTGCTCCATATTCTAAATTGTCTCCATTCTTAGTGAAAGAAATCTTCTTCCTAGCCACGTCATTTAAACAACCAGGAGATTTTTATGTTATACCTAGTCTATATCAACAGAGAAAAAGTTCATAGAAAATTGTATTCTAACAATAGCAATTAAGAATGCATTTGTACACAGGATGTGTAGTTTTACTGCCATTTTTACTGTGCTTAGAGCTCCCATTCTCCCATCCCCCTTGATACTCTATCAGATTTACGCACACAGCGAGAGATGTTTCTGCTTTAAAGGGCTGACATTTAAATAAACAAGGCGTAGAATGAAAATATTCTTATCTCGTCAGCAAAACGATAGCTAAGGTACAAAGGGCCACATTCAGGTCTGGACTCCAAAAATAGATACAGAAGCACATGGAGACATGCTGGTGGCTCCAGAGGTCGATGCTTTAAGGGCATGGATCTGTCTAGGGGAACACTAATCACAGAGGTGAGTCTTCTGGGGCTCTGTCACCTCATTGGAGATCACACTTGAGGATCAAGAACACCAAGACCCCCAGTGCTGGGGATTTACAGCAAGACAATGACCTGTGGTTTTTAAAAGGGGAAAATAGTACTGACCTCCACTTTGACTTCCTGGGAGCAGTACCTTTTCCAAGCATGTCATAAAATAGAAGGTCATGCTGCTGCCTGTTCCTAAACAGAATTTGGGTCTCAATAAGCCTAGGAGCATTCTTCTGAATCAGGAAACCTCAGCTTCCCTTTTGGAGCATGCACAGTCTCTGATTTACAGTCCTTGTCACACTCCACCTTGGTGGCTCAAGAGTTTGCTCTCTCATCTTGTCTACTTAGCTCCTCTATGAGAGGATGACACTTTGTAGGAAGGATGTTTCCTTCTTTTCCTCAGCCTTCTTAAAACACAGTGCACAGTGACTGAAATATTTTTGGTGTTTTGTGCTGTGAAAGGCCAGACATCGCCTGGGCTCAGATTGCATCACTGATTTGAGATTGGTTGACCAGTTTTAAACAATTCCTAGAGACTGGGTTGCTCTGATGGAGGAGGGAGGACAAACTGGAGAGAGGGATTTGCAGTTCTCTACCGCTGGAATAATTATTTGTCAGTCTCTTTTGAGAATGTGATCCTTTCCTGGGATAATGTCAGTAGATATTGCCTCAGCTGGCTCCTTTAGAAGAAAGGAGACCCTCAAGGCTGATTTCCAGAACACAATTCAGGGATGAAACAGAACCTGTTTCTTAGTATCATCGATTTTGTGAGAACTCTCACTCTACTCTGCCTTCTTTTATATCAACTATTTCCAGAAACACATAATTTACTTCTGCACAAAACTTGCAATTCTTTTACTCTACCTGGAGGGTATAGCTGAGGTTTGCTGACTGATGTTGCAGAGATACTGATGGGAGATGAGTTTACAGATCTTTTTTATAAGACCCAGCAAATATTTTACTCCTAGGGGTGTTTGAAATTCCCGCCACTGGAGTGATGGGTTGAATTTTTAATCTCTGTTCACTTTTGGGCCTAAGCATGTTTGACAGACACCTCTTTTTACATATTGCAATGCAATACAGTAAAAAAAAAAAAAAGGCTGGTATTTTAATACTAATAATGCATACTGCTGCTGTAGTCAAAAGGAAGAAAAAACTCCGTTCTTCATCCTCAAATTCATGCTTCTGCTAAAGCTTTCCTCATTTGAGCAGTGATTGCAATTTCTGATTTATCAGCTTCTGTTGTCCTGTTGCCACCTGGGCCAGCTACCAGAAACATCCAAGTAGAACTAGGAAAACAATACAGAATTGTAGAAAATGTATTTTACCTACAAGTCTGTGAATTTCAGAAGATTAATCCTGAAACATAGGACTTCAGCAAATATTTTTTGTAACTTTGATTTCAGATTAGGAATTGCTTAAACACTTTGACCCTTGAGGGCCTTAAAATAGCAAGGCTGGCAGCAGAACTGCTCCATTTCAAATTTCCCAATGAAAAAGAATTCTGCTCAATTTAGCAACGTAGAGACTAATACTTATTTAAACCCAAGAGCATCTTTGAAGTCTGAAAACCCACGTTTTTCGCTAATTAATCTGTTCCCTCCTGGCTGGCAAGCAAATTTATCACCAAGTTAGATTTTGTGGAAAATGCGCAGGAAGCCAAGAGATCTATGTTTGAAGCTGTGTGGTTATGTATAGCAGCTACACACAGTGGGGAAGTGCAATAATGAGATGTGCCTGTTCAATCAAGGGGAAGGCAGTGTTTTGGTCAGTGTGCTTCTCTCCTCTTACACACACAGTGCCAGTGTGCCAAAGTTCTTCTGTCCTGAGGGTGTGGGTGGGTGGTGAATAGGGGAGGAACGTTTTTCTTCTGACTGTATGGTACAGCTCAATGAGATGGTCCTGTAAATGTGGAAGAGTCCCATGAAGCCTGTGGGATGATTGGGATAGCAAGCAATTTGCATACGGATGGGTTTGGAAAAGAGGCAGCCAAACTGCTGCAGACTCATTTTCACCACCTCCTCTACAGGTCAGCTTTGGGCTCCCCATGGGGAACAACTTAAGATATTTTCTCTAATTTGTGAACAGAAGAGACTTCAGGAAAGGTTTATAACCTCTCAATGGGATATAAAAGTACAGACAATTATAGTAGAAAAAAAAAGAGAGGATCTGAGGAATTTGAAGGAGTGAGAGGATTGGGAGTCCCAGAAAACTAGTGAGCCAGTGTAAAGATGATAATTGTAAGAAAACTGATATGATCATAGCTTAGAAAGGAATTTGAGATCCAGGTGAGGGAGGGAGCTGAGGATCTGTAGGATGTATCAGAGAATGTCACTGAATATATTCTCAGCAGATATGTATCAGAGTTTGCATATTTTGTGGCCAATTCAATCATGGTTAGTTGTGGGAATAGGATCCTACAAATTGAATAACATTTTC